TTAAATAATCTAATAAAATTGTTTCAAATCTAACTGACCGTAAAGTTTGACTTTTTCAGAATTTCTTTTAAGAATAAACTCAAATTAAAATGGAGAAAATTAACAAATTCTTCATCTGAGTAGGCTACAGTATGTGATTATGAATAATAAAAGAAAAGAAAACTGTTAGTAACAATATGATTTGAAGTATAACTAAAAACATGAATCTTGAAGAAAAATAAGTATCTAGCAAATGATTTGTTTTAGTTTAATAGCTTACTACGTTATTTAATTCTTAGCGGTAATTTAATTTTAAACATTTAATTCAATTTAATTAATTCAATTTAATTTTCAGCAATAAATGAAAAAAATACTATAGAATATTTAAAACAACGTGCCACAAGCCACTAAAATACGAAGTAAGTCGTTTGTGCTAATCGAAATTTGTATACTCAACTCATTGTTAATGGTTTTCCTCTAACTAAATAATTTTTCTAATTTTGAAAGTTAACAAAATTGCTGAGGTATAAAATGAGTTCATTTATAGACAACATTTTTGCCAATGGTTTCTATGGTAGTTTTCTATGGCTTATACTATTTTTTCATTATTATTATTATTATTGCTATAATTGTTCTTATTTTTACTGTAAAAAATTATCATTGATTAACTTTCGATTGTATTTTATTTTCAAAATAATGTTGAAAAATTTACTTTTATTGCAGCAATTGTACAGTACATTCGAACTGTGAGTCAACTTGAGTCAAAGAACATGAGATTGTCTTCTTATATAAAATACTTTTATTTATTATCTTGGCTACGTGTATAAGTGATTATCAATAATATATTAGTGATATAATAATATAAGAAAAACTTATAATCAAAGATGATAATATTAACAATAATAAAATATAATCAGTGGTGGCGAAGCGACAAAAATTGGCACCTAATGCGAAAAATAAAAGGTGTGTTCATGTATGGCAGATAATCCTTAATACACGTACATGCGATAGCATATCTAGGATTTTGAGAATATGGGTGCCGCTCAAGGCAGATTCAGGGGACCAAGACGCGTGCTTTCTATGGTTTGTTGGAGAATTACTTGCAAACTACTTTAGTTACCCAATCTTACCTAATTAAAATCAAGCGATGTGAGTTATATATTTATTTTTATTTTATTAAATTATCAAAATTGCTTGGTATCCATGAAATGCTGCATCACCATAAGCATTCTCCCTTGCGTTTATATATAAAGTTTCAAGTTATTTTTCTCAAACTATAGGTAGGTCTAATTATAATTGATTTAATAAATAAAATTTAAAAAATATCAGTACTTTAGATCAGTTAAAGATTATGTCCAGGTCGACATTAGCTATATCAAGGCTTTTCAATGGAAAGTTTGAGAGGGGAGTCAATAAAACTTTTGCAAATATAAAAAAATTTATTTTAAAATATGTAAAATGTTTCATATATATTGTTCTTAAACAAATTTAGAAAGATGCCTTTTAAAAATTACTTATAAAGGCTGTTGCATATACAGAGCGTTTCGAAATTCCTGTTATAAACTTACAGGACATATTCTTAAGTTAAGAAAAATAAGATAAAAATGTTCAGTAACATTTTTTGAATAAAGTCTTTAATACGGAGTTATAATATTGAAGGGGGTCGACGGAAAAATTTTTTCTTAAAAGGAGGATACATGAAAAAAAGATTTGGACCCTTGGCTATACCTTCGTTTCATCGTCATATACAAGTACTTTACTAACAAAAATTTAAGTAACGGAGGGGAATTAAAACCATTATTCGTTTATCTTTTCTATCTTCATTAAGATTATTGAAAATTCGTGTTTTTGTGCATTTCATTCTCTTTTCTTTTTCTTTACAACATACATTTTCATTACACTTATTAGGTTAGGAATAAATTTTTATATATGATAGTTTGTATTTTAGTCATGCGAGACTCAATGGTAGTATATAACAATAAAAATGGATAATTTTATACATATCTCATTTTGTTAATATTAAAAGTGTATAGTTTTTTTTTGTAATTTTCATTTCGTTAAATTTGAAAAACGAACAATTTCATAGACACTATATTTTCACTTTTTAAGAATAATATTATTCTCATACGATTTTACATTTTTTTTATTTTTCTTATTTTTATTGGAGTTATTTATTACTAAAAGTTGCATTTAAACTTTTTTTCGTATAAGTTTTAAAATAATGTTATTTTAATTTAATTTTTCAGTCCCGAAATATTTGGAATTCGTAAAATTTAATCAAAGTAATAAAATTGTTATGAAATTGCAAAGAAATGCAAAATTGTTCATATTTTTTATCTGTTTTTTTTTTAACTTTGTAACTTTGTTCTATTATTTAATTAAATTTAAACAATGATTAATTCTGTACATTTTTCTATTGGGTTTAAAAATAGAAAAATTAATATCACTTCTTCAATTGCTGCTGCATCCGTAACATTAATATCTATCTAACCATTCATTTTAAGAAATTCAACCTATCATTTGTTAATCAATATTCTTTCATTTACAAATAATGATATTCATATTAGAATATTCAAATATAGGTATTTATGTAAGTATTATTTAGAATGCGTTATGTAACGTCACAACTTTGATTTATTAAAATTGATATTTAAAATGTTTCCAACATTTCCAACATTCAGATGTTCTTAACGTTTAGTTATCCCGGTTTTATGTGATCGTAAAAGGAAAATACTCGAATCAATCGAATTATCGACGCTTCGAGGGACTTTCGTAATATTACATGAAATGTTCATGAACAGCTTTTAGCTATTGAATCGACTGTCAATAAATATCTGTCGATATCATTCAGAAGTTAAAAGTAAATTTCCTTTTATTGAATTTGTCACATTACGTCACAGAACTTTTTGATTAACCTTTTAAAAATAATCGGATAATTCTTACTTTAACAATTAAATTTGTGTTTTGTTTTATTTGATAAATTTTATTTTCCTGGCTGTTATATATGTTTAACATTATATAACGGAGGGAAAGTATGGCGATCGGTCAAAAAATCCCCAAGATTTTTACGTTTTGGATGTAGAGGACTTAACGTCGAGAAATGCAGAAAAATTGGGAGTTCTTTTTTCTGTATATATGGATGTTAGTGTGTACACGATTTTGTTCACCCATTTTGAAGCTTAACTCCTGTCTTTTGTCAAAAATTTTTGAAATTTTGGAGGGAGGTTTGTGTATTAGATGCTATTGATGCTATTAAATTAGAGGCATTGATGATATTAAATTTTGGAGGTTAAAGGTCGAGAGGATGGGGAGATAGAGGAGGTCACGTGTCGTATCTCGAGTGGAATCGGACTCAATGAAAATTTTACTCGTTATTAGCATTTAAATAAAACTCATCTCTACCCTTAAATTTAAGCTTTTAGCTATTTTATAATAATTAATAAATATAAAATGTTTTTAAATAAAATCTCGTAATATATGGCGCCACACACAATTTTAACTCTTGCCGGGAAAGTTATGCAACTCGTTGCTGGATTTTTAAAAATATTAAGTAGGTCATTACGTGTTTTACTACTTTTATCAATTCATTTTACTGAAACTTCAGCACAATTGGAAGCTTATATTATTGTAGAGTTCTTCTTTTGGTTAAGACTGCAAATAAAATTCTGCACGCAATATTTCATGAGTCATTTTTACCTTGAAATAAATCAGCTGTTTCCAGTATTGAAATTTGTGAAATAAGAGTTTATATTTATTTATTTATTTTAATACTGAATTTCGTAATATATTTCATAAGTTAAAAATTATACATTTATTTTTATATTATCAAATGCACGAATGAATTGTTTGAAATCTATCAATAATATTAATAAGTTCTGTTATAAGAAATAATTTGATATCGATCAAAATTTATGAAGAATATCATGCAAATTTCCATGTTTATTTATTTATGATTTAAAGCTGTTCGAAGTTAAATGCAAGAAGAAAAAAAAAGGAATTTCATGTACAAAAAATCGTCACGTAGTTGTGAAAATGTAACCTAGATCGTGACAATAATACTTAAATTCATAGATGTGATCCAAGATAGATTTTATACTGTTTTTTATTATAGAATATAGTTTAATATCCTAACGTTTTAAAGCTAAGATATAGGACACGGGACTTGAAAATATAAGATTTTGCCAAATTTTTAATAAAATTTTACCCTTGGCATTTCAAAAGATAAACATTAATTTATAAAATGCGGGGGAAAAAATGTGTAAATGTCTTGTAGAAAAGTACGAAACAGCTGCACGTTTACGAACTAATTATAGAACGCAAAGAATTGTTTACTTTCGAAACCAAGTTATTTTATTAAGGGAATTGAAGCAGTACAAGTTTAGAAATACGATTATTCGTTTCTTTTAGTCTATTTAATTTTATATAACATCGATACTATCTTATAAATGACCATGTTCACCAATAATGTAAAGAAATGTATTTTAAATTAAAAAATTCTATTTCGTAATCGGAATTTTGTTACCTGGCGATTTGCGTAAGCTGAATTTACTTGCGTGGTATTTTCGTCAACCTCGTCTTAATGAATTTATTGCGTGTATTGGAGAGAAAATTCGCATAAAATGGTTAAAAAAAAAAAAAAAGCCTGATTTTCGCACATAACCAATAATTTTTACCCGGATATATTCTGAAATTCGATGTAATCTTATTAATTAGCTGAGAAAATCTGCAGGATTTCATTTCCGAAAAAAACAATTGATATCGATTAGGGATTAAATCGATATATCTGCAACTACCGAATTTTTTTTTCTGCTAAAAGTCACTAAAATTTATTTTACTAAAATCGAAAGTGATCGAAAGGTTTTGCTCTCTGTGCCATAAAATATATGAGATTTGTTGAATGCTTCATTACCTTCAGCATTCAACATGAAATCGATTTTAACACGAATAATTTTTCTTTTTATTCTTTTAATTTTTTTTAAACTAGATAAATATAAAGGAAGCTTTTTTTTATTTCCTTCTAGAACAGTGCTTTGAGCAGACAGAAATTTGGTGCTCTTCGTCAACATGCCTTTTTTCAATTGGATATTCATCTCCGGGCCGGCAAAGATCTTTTAGCTAAAGATGCTTGTGGTATGTCTCAAGAAAAAAAAAATTGAGTTTTATCGTCTAGATAGGTTAACATTTACTATTTTAATTTTTTAATTAATGATGATAATGTCAGTAGCGGATTATTTTCCGTTGACGCCCCAGACACAATTTTGTTATAAATGCCTTTATGTAAAAGTGTTTTCTTTTAATATTAAAAAGACAAAATACTTTAAATAATAACAAGTTTTTGTAATATACACTTTTTAAACGTTCTCTAAATTTTTAGAGGCATATTATCTTTTTGCTATGTAATTTTTGAGGCTCCTCGAGACGACGAGGCCCCTAGTAATCCGCCACTGGATAATGTCATAATTTATTTTTTTTATTTAAACAACTACTGTACATATAATAGTCGGATAGAGAATGGATATGGCATTTCATTTATTTACAAATGACATTTTTATGTTACCAAACGGGGTTAATTAATAATAAAATATAATCGAAATAATAGTTGTGCAGAATATAATTTTATAACGCGTTTAGTCTAATCGATATAAAAAAAACGGCAATGTTTTCAAAATAATATATTATATAGCCTGTTATCCCAATAGTATACTTTTAAATTATGAGACGGGGAAATAGAATATATACAGAAAAATTTCTTTTAACAATTTGTTTTTTTATTTGTTTCAGGCACTAGCGATCCGTACGTAAAATTCAAAATAGGAGGAAGACAATTGTATAAAAGTAGAACAATTCCAAAAACTTTAGAACCTTTTTGGGATGAATTTTTTCATCTTCCTGTTGAGGATGTCTTCCAACCCCTTCTCATTCGCGTCTACGATTACGATTTTGGTTTATCCGACGATTTTATGGGAGCTGCAGAATTTGATCTTACTAAATTAGAATTAAATAAGTGAGTAAAAAAAGTTCTTGCATGTAAAATTTACAGTATTTTAGTGGTTATTTAAATAATGCTGGTATATTGAGAAATTAAATATGTTTTTTTAGAACTACAGATGTAACGTTACATCTGACGGAATCGGGGAAATCTGATGATGATAAGTCATGTGGCTATTTAATGTTAGCATTCACGCTCATTCCAAGAACTCAAGAAGAAAAAGAACAGGTATATTGACAGCTGTGATATGGAGTAAAAAATTTGAATTAATATGGAATTGATTAGTAAAAGTGTCAACTTATATAATTTTAATAAATTGTTAAATTTATGTTATGTAATTATATGTATTTATTTAGATTGTTTATACTTTATATTATTATTATTTATTGGTGTTATGTAATTTTATGTTATACAAATCTTTTAAAATTATTTTATTATATTTATTCTATTTATATTAGGAATTGTTAACATAATTACATAATTATGTTTAATTTATTTAAATATTATAGTTTAACTAATCAATTATAAACATTTATTTAATCTCATTAAACGGAAACACAGTAATTAATCAGTTATTGATTTTAATGTGTTTTAGCTATTTTGTTAAATTCCCTTAATCAATTATAGGTGTTATTATCTTTAACCTGCTATGTTTCAGATTCTTCTTATAATTTAATTAATTATTGATTTTATTTGTTATGTTTTAGCTAATTAGTTTAATTTAATAAAATTTAGGTAATTCATTTCATACACTCTGTTTCCCTATTGTGTGACGTTACTTAAAAGCTTTTGCACTTCTGTTGTATTATTCTGTTTATTCTAATGTTATAATCCGGGAAAATGGAAAGTATGAATCATGTATTAAAGTATTTTTAAGTAAATTAATTAAACAGCTAAAGTACATACAGGGCTTTCCCTTGTACTAAATAAATAAAAATAAAATTAAACAGCTAAATGTTATAATTTAATTAAGTTATACATTTTTTTCATTATTTAAGGCTAGTTAAATTTCAGTATATTTTATTTACCAGATTATGCTAAATATTTCTTTTCTTATAATTGAAGAAACATTATTTATATCACTGTATAATTGTAATGACAAAAATATGCAAGCTACAAAATAAAAATTTATAACGTAATGAAATTTTATCCTGTTAGATTTGGCTGAATATTATAAATTTATTATGTAAAACAAAATATAATATACAATACAATATGGCACTGATAGAATTTTAAATTATTTTGTGATTATACTTCATTTTATAGCCTATTGATTAAAAAGATAATATATATTTTGACTTTATAAATCATCTTTAAAAGTTGTTTATTTATATAAGAAATATATTAGATAGATAAATGCAGACCAAACTTGGAATAAATTATCTGAACCACAAGTTAATGTTATCATATTTCAAAGTCACACAAAACTCTCTTTCAAGTTTGACCAATTTTTTTTCTGTTTTTTTTTCAGAAATTGCATTTGTAAATAAATCTTCTATTATAAAAAAATAATGTAGTTCCATTCTATTCAGAAACAAATTTTCTTAGAAATTGAATTTCCTGTATTTTTATATATTAAATGGAGAATTAGTTCAGGAAACATTAGCAATATTCTAAAAATATTCTGTAATTGAGAAATAAAAACCTATTCCATATGATACAGTATAAATTATCTGTAAGTATTAAATGTTTCACTTGTTACTATTGATAAGCTTTTTTTAGGGTATAATGAATTCTTTGAACTTTGATACTATTACTCAATTCTTGTCTGCATGAAAAATTACACATATTTTTATTCAAATCATTTCAGTGACAAGTGGATTGCTAAATCCTGTCTTAATTATTAAATTTTTAAAAATTAAACAGTTTAAAATAATGAGTAAACATCATTTACATCAAGTATGTATTTTTAATTATATTTAAAAATGTATTATCAGAATATATTAACATTATTTTTTAAATTGTATAATAAAATTTATTTAAAATTTACTAATTTTAGAAGAAAATACTAACCAAACTTTAACTGATGAAAATATTTATTGAATATTTAATTGTTTTGTTATACTTCATACATTATTTGTTCAACAATTTGCTTTAATCATTAAAGAATTTATTCAGCTTTTTAGTTAAACCAGTGATTTATTATTATCTAATTATTATATATTATTTGATAAATAATCTTCATGTGAAATGACTTTGAAAAGATTTATATATGTAGTATAACTTTTTATTGGTAATTTTATGAAATAATGAAACTTTGTAACAAAAATGTAATTATTGGCATTATAAAATATTTACACTAATACAAGGTTCATTCAAAAAGTAATGCACTAGAATTTATTTCGCTGCTAGTATGAAACATACAACTGTGAAACTTGGGCATATCCTAGCTGTTACCTTCAGCTATTTGTTATTTTTCAACAAAGTCTCTGTCCTTGTCTTTGGCCATATACCAGCATTGAGGGAGGACATATATGCTGACTTGCTACCAGTCCTGATCATGTGCATGCAACCACTTCCTCAGAGTATTGACAACATCTTCATCTGACTGGAACTTTATCCCACAAAGACAATTTTTCAAAGGACCAAAAAGGTAATATAATAAAAATAAAACACCTTAATTTGTTGCTGAAAAAATATATAATTGAAAACAATTATATATTTTCTCAGCAACAAATTAACGTGTTTTATTTTTATGTGTTTATTTGCTGAGCACTTTTATTGTTATCATTATGGCAGGACCAAAAAGGTAAAAATCTGACAACACTAAATCAGAAATGTATGGTGGATGCAGCAATACTGTAAAACCTAGTTTTGTGATCACCTCATGAGTCTCCAGACTTGTGTGTAGCCTCACCTTGTCATGCTGTAGAAGCAATTTGCATGGATTCTCTTCATGCCTGATATCTTGATAATGCTTCTTCAGCCTTTAATGTGTAGCAACATAAGCCTCTGAGTTAATGGTGATCCTTTAGGCATGACATCCACCAAAATGACACTGTGAATGACCTAAAACAGTGATCATAACCTTTCTTGCTGAAGGAATGACTTTTTTTTCTTTCATGGTGAATGTGGATGGTGTTATTCCAGTGATTGTCGCTTTGTTTCAGGTTTAAAGTGGTGCATCCATGTTTCATCTCCAATAACAATGATAGCCAAGAACTCATTGCCATCAGACTCATAGCATTGCAAGAGTTACGATGCAATGTTTTTCCTTACTGCTTTTTGGTCAATTGTGAGTTGCTTCATGATGGGACCCATCATGAATACACTTTGGCATACCCAAGTTCACAGATGATTTGCTGAACACTCTTAGCACTAATTCACAATCATTCTTTCAGCTGTTCGACTGTAAAGTGTCATTCCTCCTGAATCATTTCATTGATGCACCGCATCATGGTTGCTGTGATAGCTGTAGTGGGACAATCACTTTGCACCAAATACAGAGATCTGCCATTCCTATTGTCATTGACTTTGCACATTTTGCCCAATGACTGATGGTGCTTCGGTTGACCATAGCTGCAGTACCATAGACACCACACAATTGCTTGTGAATGTTTCCAACAGTTTTCCTTCAGCAACAAGGAATTTTATCACCACATGCTGCTTGGAATGTACTTCGCTGATATTTTCCATTTTTCAATGGAGCCACAGTGGTCTTGAAATTTTCCATGTTATCAAAAGCTTCTAGGTAAACTTCTCAAAAGGGGAATCACATTGCAGTCTTTGTTTCACAGATATAAATTATGGTGCATTACTTTTTGAATGATGCTTGTAATATATATTGAAATAAAAGATATAATTTTAAGCAGTTCATTACATAAATAGAAAAAGAAGTTAAAAGCTAAACTATTGAATAAGTTTAATTATTACAGAACAATTAAATTAAAATTATTTGTTGTTGTATTTTATAAATAATAATAAATATATGTAGTATATTGCATAGTTTTTCATAATGCAAAGATAATGAATGAAAGAAATTATACTACTACTACAATCAGTTTTTTGTTTGAAGCTAGTAAAGAAAACTAGTAATAACTATTGTAGCTTCATTGTTTATGTTGTTTGATATATTGATTGATAAATAAATTCTTTGTATTAAAAAAAGCATATTATAGACATATAAAATAAAAATATAAAATTAAAATAAAATTTTAATTTTATATTTCCAGTTTTTATATTTTTAATAACTTAAAAATTATTATATTTTATATCTGATGTCATATGTATATACGTTATATTTCAACTACGGTATTGTCATTAGATAACAAATTTGTTAAGATTTTGATAAGATGATGACAGTTATTTTAGAATGCAAATTTTTAATATTAGCTGTAATCAGTAATGAAATCAATATTTTATTATCCAAGACTATGCAATTGCTTCATATTTTTAAAATTCTCATTATAAAAAATTATGATATTAGTTAAATAATTGATTGTTTTAATTTTTAACATCTAAATTAGTTCTCTTTATTAGAAACATGAAGTGAATACAGTATTAATAAATCAGAATAATCAATAAAGAAATAAAGAAAAAAATTAAGATTAGATTATCTAACCTTTTTCTTCATTTTATGATATGTTAGGTTGTTTTGAATTACATGAGAAGTTTTTTTAATTTTAACTACTTTATTAAACTTTATTACTTTATTTTTTAAATGTGTTAAACATTTTAAAAATATATTGATAATTAAGAACATTTCCATAAACAATATTTCAAAACTTTTTAGATTGTTTTTCTTTCTGTTCAGATTACAAACTTTCCTTAATATTTCTATTCTTAACTGTTCCTTAATATTTCTATTAATATTATAATTTTTACTTTTTGTGCAATTGCTATAATTACAAATTTCTTAAAGTATTAATAAACTAGCTTACATTAAAGATTATAAATCAATTAAAATATCTGATATATTTCTGTTAAGATATTTAATAATAATTAAAGTAAATACTTTTTTAAAAATAATAGCATTTGTAAAATTTTAAAAAATGTTTATACAAATCTGTTCAATTATTTCCAGGAAAATTAAATTAAAATTATTTGTTATAATTTATAAGTAATAATAAATAGATATAGTGTTTCACATACTTTAATAATGCAAATTAATATTAATCAATGATAATAAAATTTAATAATTCAAAATTAGAGAAAGGCATAAAATTAAAGTGGAAGTAATATTTTCTGTGACAAAGTTTTTCATTTGTTTGTTTTTAGAATATATAAAA